ATCCTGGCTGAGCTGTGACCAACAGACCCCGTCTGCATGAGCAATATGGTGGTGAATCTTAAAGCAGCTACTCAAAATGTCCAACTGATACCCAGTGTGTCATGTGAAAGTGCCTTCCCGTTTTATTCATTTCATTGCAAACAAGGTTGGGTTTTTTCAGTTTTTATCACAAATGAGTCACTTGGAAAAGGGAAGATTTCCCCTCCAGTAAAAAAGGCTTTCAAGCATGAGTGGGATTACAAATAGCAATTATATTACTTAAGAGATACTTAAAATATTGTGCAAGCCCTATTAAACTCAGTGGCAATGATTTACAGTAAGAAAAATATACAGAATAACAGAGAAGTGAAGGTGGGAGTGCTGTGGTTTTGTAAGCTTTCTGTTACTTAAAAGATGCCCTGCTGATTTATCAGTACCTGCTTTACAACCCAATTTACTGTATGTTGAGAATTTTATGGGAGCATCCTGGTTATCCTTGCAGTGCAACTTTTTTAATCTCATTATCAGGCAGATGTTGTTCTTGCTATCAGTGATATAAATCCAAGGTCACTCTTCTGACTTCACTTATTTCAGGGTTCATAGCAGAGAAAGAAAGGAAGAAAGGTTGGAACAGGCAACCTGCCAGGGAAGCTGTGGCTGCCCCCTCCCTGGAAATGCTTCAGGCCAGGCTGGATGGGGCTTTGAGCAACCTGGTCTAGTGGGAGGTGTCCCAGCCCATGGCAGCGGGGTTGGAACTAGGTGATCTTTAAGGTCCCTTCCAACCCAAACATTCTGTTGTATGATTCTATGAAAGTTGGCCTCATGTCTTCTAGTGCAATAGAAAATTTTTTTTAAACATCAGTTTCTCATCTAGGAGGTGTGAAATTCCCTGATTCAGCACCATCCCTGAGAAACAAACACACATCCAGTGCTGTTTCCAGTAGGTTTTGCTGGCTACACAGTGCGTGGTGTAGCTAAAAGAGCAAAAAACAAGGCCCAGAATGGCTGAACAACAGCCTACAGGGGCTCTACAGGTGGTGAAGGGGAGTTCTGATGTTTGTATTGGGTCAAGGTGTGCACTGTGCCATAGTGCTGCATGTTCTGATGTTTGTATGGGGTCAAGGTGTGCACTGTGCCATAGTGCTGCATGTGCATGCACACGTGTGTGTGTGTGTGTGTGTGTGCGCAGCCAGTGCCGCAGTGCTACTGCAGAGAGAGGAAGGGTTCCCATGTCCCATCAGGCATCAGGGTCTGCTTGGAAATTATGCAAGGGGGGAAAAATATTTCCCCATATCTCTCCTCTAGACATTTGCCCCAGCAGGCCCTCAAGCTGCAGCAGCTCCATGGCTGTTACAACAGGACTGCTCTCTGGGCAGCCTCCTGGCTAGAAATGAAGAGATGAGGGAGACAGAGGGACAAGGGGCAAACAGGGAGTCAGGTGAGGTGGCACCATTGCTCATGTTTCATGTGTGCCCTGTGCAGAGAGGGAAGTCAGAGTGGGAGAGGGAACAGCAGTTGTGCAGCAAAGCCTGCACTGGTAATTTGACTTGGCTCTCCTGGTAAACATCTAGTCCTGGCTTCGACAGACTGGCAGTCCATGTGGCACAGCAATTACACATCTGGTTGATGGTGAAGGACCCTGCAGACCCTGGCACGGGACTGTGCCACAGCACTAGGCTGCACATAGCTGGTCCCCTGCCTGCCCAGACTCCAGGGGCCCTCTGCCCTTTGTGGGTCCTGCAGCTTTCTCCTTGTATACGCGTGCGTGTGCACAAGTTCAGCTCAGATGAGAAGAACATAAGACTCACAAACATCTGCATGCTCTGCAGCTACCAGTGAAATCAGCATGTATCTGCATATGTACTGCACATTATGATCAGCACAAAAACCCAAAGCCTTGGCAAGAATCTGATGGATCAAAATCAGGTACAAAGATAATAAGGAGCTCAGACTTCAGCCTAGTCTACAGGAAGTACATGTTACTAGCCACTAACAATTTGCATAGCTTCATATTAAAATAAATCTTTCTCCCTCCCTCTGGCACTAAGGCAGCAACAGAATTTTTTTTCTGTTATTCATATTTGCTGTAACAACATCATGCTGCTTTCTTCATACAGTATGCTGATAATTAAAACTAACCCATTGATCAATAACAGAGAGATACCAGAGAACAAAGCAATGCATTTTACAGAAAGTTATTTTCTATATGTTAAAAGCCCAGGCCTCTTCTCCAAATGGTAAATGCAGGAGATTTGCCTTTCTAGGTTTTCTTATTACTTTTGGGTATCCCCAAAAAGAGAACAGAGGGCACATTTCTTCAGGTTCCTCTCAGAAGTCACTTTAATTCTTATCTAGTAGCAACTTTTCTTCAACGAAACCTCTTACAGGGGCATTTGTACTTTGAAAGATTTAATACAGTTATTTTTGGGATCTTATCTGGCCTTCCACTGTTGCTTAAATTACACAATAAAAGTGTGTTTTACACAAATCCCAGAATAAAACAGCGTAACAGTGGCAGATCCTGAAGGGAGCAGAAAGGGTGTAGCTGATGGAGCATAGATGACGTCTTGGGATTTTGTGATCCAGTCCCCCAAAATGGCCCGTGAGAGTAAATGAACAAACCAATAATACATTTCACATTAAAAGTTATGTGTATTTTGCATATATGTGGGAGAGACACGCAGAGACAAGTAACAGGAAAGCAGCTCCCCACCCTAGAAAACACCAAGAACATTTTAAGAAAGCTACATAACTGATCAGTACTCCATAGAAAGAGAAATGTAGATCCAGCCAAAGTGGAAATGGCATGCTGAAGAACTGTCTTTACTTCCCCATCGAGCCAGAAGTACTTCCCTGCAGAGTATGGAAGGGTTGTGGAAAATACTCTTGGAGCCACCCACAGTGAAATCCAGTGTTGTCTCCGTGTGATGCTCCAAGAAGGGGTGTGTGGCGCTGCCTCTTCCACCAGCAGAGTGAGCTCTCATCTTTGCAGCTCCCCAGTCCATTGCCTGAGAGGGGGAGGATTGGTGCAAGCCCTTAAGGAGAACATAAGGGCAGCATCCCACCCTAGCTGTGACTTCCAGCAAAGCCACCCACTGCCTACACATTACAGGAGAAGTGCACCTCACCCTCCTTATATCCCTCTTCCAGAAAAGTCCTGAGAACAAATGTCGTATAAAACTAAGCTGCTGGCTAAGTCCATTCCTGGCTCTGAAACTTTGCAGTTGCATGAGACAGGTTAAAAACAATGGTTAAGTGAAGACTTAATAATCCACACAAGACACGCTGGGAAAGATCCTGCAGTGGTGTAAGTCAAAGCACTTCTGCTGAAAGCAAGGGGTTTGTGGATTCAACGTCAATAAACTTACCTTACTTCTGGAGCCTCCTATAGAACAGAGAAATAATACCCAGAGCAAAAAATACAGAATTAACAGATTCTGTTATCTAGTCATGTTTAGGAAGGTGTATTATTAAAATGATATGTTTGATATGTTTGAACATGACTTGATTTTTGTCTCATTTTAATCAAAGAAAATGGCAATTGATTCCTCAAGTAGACCTGTCGAGATGAGGTCAAGAATCAGCAGAAATATTTCACAAGCTGAATATCCATCAGAAGTAAAGTGACACCTTTGGTGGAACAAGGCACTTTTGAGCATGGAAAGTAATTTTCCCCAGAACCTCCTACTGCTCACTTTAGGGAGCAGGATGGGAACTTCTGTTGGACCCTCAGTAAACTGAAATGTACACAAATCTGCAGGGTCATTTGGGTTACAATACAAGTAATAAGAAGGCTTATTTTTGTTTTCTCAGTTTTCTGTATGCCTTCTTGCAAAGCCTATGAAATCATTCTAGTCCAGATTTTGTGTTACCCTGGTAAGGAAAGTCAAGTTCCTTACGATTATTATTGTTTTTTAAGAGGCAGAGAGTCTCTTAAACATCTCTTTCCAGGCCCTGCAGTAAGTAAGTAAACAAACACCCCCCAAAAACCCAACCCAAACTTGGAACAAGGAATGCCTGTATCTTTATGAAAAGCAATTGAAGAGTCACCTTCAAGATGAGCACCTGCTTGCCCAACTAATGCAGAGGCTTTGCCCTTGGCCTTTTTAACCAGAACTACATTTGTTATAAGAAAGGAATCTGATTTTTTTACCAGTATTTAAAAAGAAAATGAGCTCCAAACCACTTCCTCTGACAAGCAGTACTTTGTAGCATCAGACTTGGATAATAAACCAAAAAGCAAAAGTCTGATTGCTCCCAGTGCTGCACAGAAGTAATGCAGTGTGATGGACATAGAGGAACAAACCTGTAAGAAACACCCAGCAGAAAGCTGTTGTTGTTATTAGGCTCTGCCAGTGACTTTAGCTTTAGAGGAAAAAAAAATTGCCTATCTGTAGTATTCATATTAAGCATTATGGGGAAGAAAAAAATAATGGAAGTGAGGAACCTGAACCAGAGACAGTGTAACATACAGGGAGAAAATATCAGCATCAAGAGTTTGGGGTTGGAGGAATCACAGTAGACTGTTCAGTCCCACCCTTTAAGAGTCTAGATTCCTGATTCATTCCTGTTCACATTGGTATCAGCAGAACGTTACTCTGAAGGACAGAGTAAAATTAGAAAAAGCCAAAAAAATCAAAATCTGTGTTTTAGGGTTGTTTTGTTTGGGACTTTTTTAGTACGAGGAGAAAGGAGATACACTGAGGTAGGGGAAGATGGACCAGAAGTGCTGTAGAGAAAATAAGAACAGAGCACTTTTCCCCTTGTGCTCATAGTCCAAGAGGGAGGGAACATCAGCAGAAATTTTGAGGTGTACAGACAAATGGTGATATTTAACACACAAAACAGGAGTGAGCTCTGCAGGTCACTGCTCTAGCCCTTCTTGGGCAGCAGAAGCAAAAGAGTTTATAAAAAGAACTTTTTAGGCAGATGGATCAGTGAGCATAAAGGCAGAGATACCAGGTGCTGCTGCTCAGGTAGTCTGTAAGCCTTAGATGGGAATTTGGGATACCAGTGAAAACTTTGTTTTGTACCTCACACTATTTTTGTCCTCATTTTTATAAGAATGTGCTACTGCCACAGTCAGAGACAGGCTGCTGAGCTGTTACACTCAAGTCTAGAGAGTTAAAATATGTATGCATATACATACACATACTATGTGTGTGTGTGTGTTTGTATGTACATATGTGTATTATTATATATGTATTATCCATATATATATTTTGAGTATATATATTATGCTATAATGCCTAGTAGGCTTGGTACAGTCCATAGTAGGTTTGGCTCCTCTTTTGCATGGACTAGCTTTACCACTTGTTTTCTGGAGAATTTCCTCTTGACATACTCCACAAGTGAGAGTAAGGTCTCTGTATGTTGAACAAACAGGTGAGCCTTAAAAACAATGCAGCATCTGAAGTCCTTGACAACAGCTATATGTTTACAGTCCTTCACATTCCCCAGCTTCATCTACTTGGAAAAACAGTGAACATGTGTCTGAAACTTGCAGCATTGCATGCAAGGCAGCAGCTTGCAACATTTGGGGAAGCTTGATTTTGTGGTGAGGGACTTTTGTGGGTCTTAATTACACATAGACTGCCAAATCCCATGAAATGGCCAGCTACAGAGCAACAGGGAGACAGCTGATGGCATTAGAAAGGTCAGTCTTGAAAAGAGATACGTGTTTGGATGCAATTTGACATGGCTTCATCTCAAAACCGGGTAGGGTGGGTGTTTTTATGTAAAACCAAATGTCCATGGACTGATTGATCAAAGCTTTGTAGAGGAAAACTAGTCCCTTGAACTTCTTCCAAAATCCTTCAGTTCTTCAATATTCACATACTGCACAGTGTTCAGTGTAAATAACAGACAATGGCAAAGGCACCCCAGAGTGAGCCCAAGCACCCCAGCACTACTCTCTTTCCCATGGCAAATGGAAAAGTGTACTCTGTGTGAGCTGCAGAACATGTTCAAGCAGCCGGTTGTCACAGCAACAAAGGATGACTTTGGAGATCTTCAGACCAAAGGTTACCAAACCTCTCTTCCAAATGCTTGTACCACCCATATCCTTGACCGGTCTGGAATGAATCCACACCACCTAATTCAAAGTCAGCTCGGAGACTGCAGTTTCTTTCTTTGACCCACCTGAATTACAAGCCTCATTGGAGAACCCTCAACATACACAAGTGGCAGCCTCCTGAGTGACCTTCTCAGAGCTGGTGAACCAGACATGAGACTAGGTCTCACAACGTGCCTGAAGAACCAGCAGTCCCGTACCGTTCCTCTGCCTTGAATGACGTCCACACCTCTTAACTGAACTGCTTGAAATTCTTCTAAATAATATATTTTTGCATGCTTTTTACACCAAGTAATTTCTCTCAGATTACTACCCTTCTCTTTTGGGAATACGTGCAGTCTATATTTTCCCGCTGACACTAAGAATGTAATTATTAAAGAAAGGAAAAGCATATTCAAGTCTGCACACAGGGTGAGAACTATCAGAGGAACCTGAAAAAGAGATGGGCACCATAGCAGCTGCTTCACAGAGCCTAAATCCTGGTCAGTGCTTCGTAAGATCACCAGTAGCAACAGATGGATTCTTGACGAGTCACTTCAAGATCATAATTGCAAAACCAATAGATGCTGGTTGTGGCAGAAGGAAATACTGACAGCCTCAACTCCTCTTGGCCATTTCAAGAAACTCTGATATCTGAGGAAACAACTCTGTCAAGTAAAGGCAAAGACTGTGGCATGCAAATTATTCATGGGAACAAAATTATGGAAGTCTGTTGCCAGGTTTTAGCAGATAAGAGTGGATCTAGTGCTGACAACTTTGCTGCACAATCATGCTCTGGTAGGATTGCCTTTGCTTTCCCCACGCTGATGTCAGACACTGATAGAAATGAAACCCCACCACTGGCTGGCTCTGGTGCTACCACCTGTGCTCTGGGCACTCTTCTGCTTCATCTTTGCTACCTGTTGGCCATGGAGGCCAGTGAGACTAAGATGTAGGAAAGGGGTAGTTAGGGGTGCCTGTGCTGCTAGCAGCGTGTGCAGGCACATTCATGTGTGCACAAAGACAGGCCAGACGCTTTACGGAGAAGCTCAAAGAGGTCCCCTGCACTGGCACATGCAAACACTAAGACAGGTCCTCAGGATACAGACAGGGAGCTCAGCAAGGCCCTCCTGGCTGAACAGGATGGGAAACCCTGAGTGCGCTTCCTGAAATGTCATTTTTTTCCCCTCATGGGTGCTTCTCTTGTCCTTGGTCTCTGTTTTGGCTACTGGGTTACCTGCTTTGGCTTTCTCCTTGTCCCTGAGCATGAAGCAAGGATTACATTGGGCTTTTTTAGTTATTTTGATAAAACGCCTGGAAAATGTGAACCTGTTTCTGTCAAGATACTCCTAGTGCTACAGTACCAGAAAGGGTAGCACGGCAGGGCCTGAAGAAGTGGGAAGGGTGGGAGGGGAAGGCAGCCTCTGCACCTTGGCATGTTCTTCTGCCAAACTGGCAACATCATCCCATTGTCAACAGACCTGTAGAGCAAAGTTTCCATTTTCTACCCGTTCCAACCATAGCTGAGTTTCTCAGCACCCATCTTTCCTCAAGATAAAAGTCCCCCTCCTCACCCTTACAGGAGCCAAAACATCTCAGCCTCAGCTGCCAGCTTGGAGCTCACTTGCTCCTGGGGGCTCCAGGGGAGCAGCTCCCTGGCACAGCTGTCACCACACCCCTGCACTCCAGCTGCAGCTGCAGCGGTTCCGTGTGCTGCTAAGCACTTTCTCCAGGTCTTGCACACAGCTTCCAGAAGCTTGTGACTCCACTCAGAGCATTTAAACAACCTTTAAAATGCTGTTAATTAAAGATAACACCACTGCAATTTTGCCCCAAAAATTGAGGGGACCGAGAGACACACCCACAAATCAGGCTTGGTTTTATTCACAAAATATGAGTTTCGTGAGGTTTTTGTAAAGGATCACAGGCAGATTTCAGGCTCTTCCTTCGCCTGCTTCTGCCTGTGGTTACAGAGCTGTAAATCCCACTGACTTTAATAGCACAGGACCTGGCCAAGCGACGAGCACGTGTGTCCAGGAAGGGCCAGGACAAGCAGGTGCACTTCAGAGGTGCATGGAGGCAGCTGTGGATGATCAGCCTGACTTCCAGCTGCTGGTCTCAGCTTTTGCTGCCACTGGCAAGTCAGCCTGGGCTCGGTTTTGTATTCAGCAGCATCATGGCACACTCATTTTCTGGCAGAGGAGACAGCTAAATAATCTCAGATCGAGTTGGTGGTCATGTAGCAGCAAAACTTGATTTAGAGACATATGACTGCACTACTCATTCCTTCCAAACATCACAGCAAAAATCTTTTGTTTTTATATTGAGCTTTTCATATCCGTGTTTTTTAGAAATACTACAAATTGCAGTTAAGTGGTTTTGGCTTGTGTCTGTGGCACTAATCTCAGTCTTTGTCCCGCTCCAGTTAATAGGCTGCATTATTGGCAGACAAGGCAGTAAGATAAATGAAATCAGGCAGATGTCAGGAGCACAGATCAAGATTGCTAATGCCACAGAAGGCTCCGCAGAACGACAAGTTACAATCACAGGATCCCCTGCAAACATCAGCTTAGCACAGTACCTCATTAATGCAAGGTAAGTTTGCTTTGTAAGTGATAATGCTTCTGCAAGATTGCTCTGTCTGCTCTCCAGCAAATGTCTGTCCTGGATAGATCCAGAAAGTTGCTTTGCAGTGTCGATTTTGCATAGTATTATTCAATTCCAAATGATTTGTTAAGCCTGTATCACTAGAAGCTGTGTTTGCTGTTGGTTTATATGGAAAGGAGCTTAATCTGGTGCAATTCAAGGTTCAGGCTGAATGACAAAAACTGAGAAATCTGAATATTCACATTAACATCCACCTAATATATAAGCGGATAAGTTAAATGAAATGACAATCATAAATTCTTTAGAAGAAAATACTTTTCACAGACCCATTTTACTGTCCTAAATGGCAAATATAGTGAAACAGATTGCAAAGCAGGTTTAATTTTTACTAACTGGAAATTGCCACTCATAGTTGACACTGAACTGACACTTGGTTGCTAAAGAGGCACAGGATTTATTTTTTCAGAGACAGCATCACAAATTTGTAAAAACATTCCCTAATGAGTCAGGGTGTGACTATCTGCTTCTCCACTTCTTGGTGCCAGAATTAATGAAATCATTGGCAGTTCAGCTAAGCCACTGTGGCGGCTTAAGCATCTATCAGTTTTGATATGATTGTTTAGACAAATATTAAAATTGATACCACCTTTATTTGCAATTGTCCTGAGAAGAAAGTGCAGTGGATATAGTGCTGTCTCATAGATCTGCTTGTAAATGGTGGACCGAGGCAATGTATTGTGGGGAGGGGGAGTATCTGCCTATTGTATTACTTGTTTTCATCTGCAAAATGCCGTGGTACGAATCAAGCTTTGTGTTTAACTATGTTTGCTGTTAAGGCAGCAGAAAGTATGTGATTTATATGGGATGTGTAGTCATAGCAGGTCTACAGTCTCCTGTAGGCCAGCCTCCTCTCCAGCCCAATTCTGCAGTGCACCACTGCAAGCTACTGTAAATGTCTTAATGAAGGAGAAGGATGCTTGCACAGCTCTATGTTACAGCAAACAAAAATAATACTTTTTACAATTCAGTTTGTAGTTTCAGAAAGTAGCTTCCTAGGGAAAGGTATATTGAGGGGTGGTGTTGTGAAGCCTAAGCTAAGCCATTTCCAGATTCCTTAAACAACCTACAGCTCTTTTGATTTACATTCTTTGTAGCAAATATAAGTCACTTCCATAAGCCCTGTAATCAAATAAAAATGTGTTCCCTCCTTTAACCCTTAAGGATATGTTCTTCTCTTGGTGTTCAGGGATTCCCCACACATCGAGACGAGAATAGACCCCTTCATTTTTAGTTGCACAAACACCATATGGCATGCATCTGGATCTCAGAAGATAACAATTTAAGATCTTCAAGACAGCTAAAGCATGCAAATAAAATAATGCACTTATTAATGGAGTTGCAGTGAGCTGCTCACCAGAGACAGAAACTCTAGTGAACAAACTTCTGTTTGACTCACTTTAGAAAAGCCTGTGAACTCTCACACATCTGTTTATTACTGTTTAACGATTCTTTTGACGGCATTGGATATATCTGAGGTCTTTTAACATACTTTTGCAAAGAAGAAAACTTCTCAGCAATCGTATACCATGGATACTCTATCTATACCTTGGGAAACCAGAAACAAACTATTTTCTTCCTGTTGAATTTCTAGGTAGAAGTAATTTGTTACCATCATCTACTACAATAAACCATCGTCTATTATTATGTACCACGTGTTGAAACTGTATTTAGGTGAAGTGACTTCATTTGTAAATGAAGACTCTTAAAGTAATGTATAATAAATTAAGCTCCGAGGTAACGTAGGACATTAAGGCGGTTTTTTCATCTTACAAAGTGACACCGTTCCAGATTTCTCTTTTCTCAAGAGAAATTCCTGTCCAGTCAGGTGCCACCGCAGCAGCAGTACGTGTTCGCAGTTGCACCAGAGGAAGAGCTGAGAAACTTTCAGCCAGAGGGAGGTCGGCTCTAGCTGGAGTTTAGGTGCTCGGGCAGGTTTCTGAGAGGCAGATCTCAGCTGCCACTGCCTGTGCATGCTGGGAGGAGCCAGTTCTAGTCTTTGTCAGTCCTAAACCTGCCATAAACGCTGCTGTCTCTTTTAAAGATGTTGGCATGAAATAAACAGTGTTGGGGAACAGCTGAGTACAGTACCTAGCCTGCCCAATATATAGCCTGGCATGTCAAAATAATAACAGTAACAAATAAAAGCCATATAAGCATTCAGGGTAAGGTGGATTATTTATTTTTTCCTACCCCAGAAGATATGTTATTCTCGTGTATTTGGTTTCCAGGGCCAGTATTTCTGCATAAATCAGTGTATCCCAGCAGCATAGGATGTAAGGAAAAATATCAATCCACTGTATTCCTGAAACAAACTGTGTATATCTTTAAAATCCAAGCAAAGTTGCCATCTATAGAATAATTCATCAAGTTGTTGTAAGACTTTGGTTGCAATCTGACGTTGAATATATAAAGAATATACTCTAAATTATAGCTATATAAATACATTGATACAATATCGAGACATATTTAAATCTTTCCGAAGTATTGTTTTGATTCTGTATTGATTACCCGGGCGCTGACCTCTGTATATGTAGAATGTGTCCCAGCTTGTCTGCAGTAGAATTGTCTTTTTTTCCTGTAAAAACGTATGTCTTTTAACTGGTCTCCACTGTAGTAACTGGATTTTCATTATCCAATTCCATCTTCTAGCTTTTATTAAGGATGAACCAGAGTTCACGTGTCCTGTGTAATATTTGACTTTGGATATTAAATTAATTGTAGCCAGCAGCACTTTCTTCTTGTTGAAGAGCAGTTTCCTGAAGGTATTTTTGATTACCCTTTTGATATAAGGTTAATTCACAGAACTAACAGGACCACCAAAGCCACACTTGAGCTTTGTTGTTTTCACCTGTTTTGGGTAATGCAGGATGTGGCCTTCAGTGTATAAATTCATAAAGTACAGTTCTTCAGAGGGACAGTGTAAAATTGGCACCATGAAATTCTCTGCGAATGCTGCCTCATCCACTCTCTCATTCAATTTTCTTGCATCTATAATTGGTTTGGGAAACGGCCTCTGTCACAGGGCAGCTGATAGGTAGCCTGGTGTGCTTTCACCTTATGTGTTACTACCAGTAATAAATGTGAAGCAGGGCAAATTTAGTTCTAACTAATTGCACCTGTGTGAGTACACCCTGGACAGGGAGTTTGAGTGACTGCCACAACACCAGCATTTAGCCTGTGGGATCTGGTCTTTCTGCTGGTGCAGGAAAAAGCTCAGGCTCAAATGCCCCCCATAACAGTATGGATTTTTTTTGTTTTTGTTAAATGCAAAATAGGCAAACTGGAGTCACTGAAACACTGAGTCCTGCATTATCTTTCTATGTGCCTCCCTCCCAGAATGATACTGAGTTAGAAATATGAAAAAATCCTACTGTATAAACTGAGTTTTTCAAAACCTACTAAGGTATCACTGTGTAACTCCTACACCCTTAGTCCAGGATGTACACTGGAGTTGGATCCACTGATTCAGTATTCTTGATGTAAATCCCACTGTGTGAGTAGATTGCAAGGAGCACGACTAACGGCACAAGGATGCTCTTCTCTCTGCAAACAACAACTCTGCTGCGAGGGTTAGAAAAATTCCGAGATGCTCATCACGGGGACAAACACCACAGGGTAGGAAAACCAAAGTTTTACCACCCACAAATGGGTATGCATTTCATGCACTCGCCCTCCTCCTCTCCCAGCCCCTTAAAGAAGCCATGCGCCTCCCGGCAAAACCCACCAAGGAGTTAATACTCCAAGAGCCCTCTTTCTTTTGAGGGGAGGAGAGGAGCTTGGTGCTCAAGCATTTCCCTCTCTCCTCAACTCTCCTCTCCCCAGCTCAGACCTGCTTTGGTTATCCTTTAGGCTCACCTTTAGCAGCAGTGCTTTGGGAAGCGATAGTCCAACATCCTCATCCCTTATTTATTTAGTGCTGCTGGTTCATCGCTTGCATCCTTGCCTTTGTGCAATGTGGGCAGGCCTTCTGCTCTTTGCCTTTCTCCAACCACTAATAGATACGGGGCTGTTACTCTCATAACTGTGTAAGTTTAAGGTGAGGAAAAGCAAGGCTCTCCCAAGCCCTGAGTAGGGGGACCATGGTCCCCTGCCTTGTCCTGGCCAAGGAGCCAGGCTACAGCGGCTCCCTAACCCTGCACTCCCAGCTGCTGGTGCCAACAGGGGCCAGCACAAACCCTGCAATGGAAACCTTCCCCCAGACCTGATGGGACATGATAAAAAAGCAGCAGGTTCTCCTCACGCAGGTCCTCTGCACAGCTGGGCTGTGATTTGAGGGTGCTCCACTCCAGGAGGGAGAAGCTGCTGCAGCTCCTCAGCTCACCTCAGGGGAAAGCCCAGGAGTCTGACAAGTTAATAATTACAAAAACAAAGCAACAACCAAAACAAACTTGGAATTAATATATGTATAACTGTATCTAGCAAAGATTTTCTAGCACATTGTCCCATTTAAATGTTAGTCTGCTATACCTCCCAGCAGGTCACATGCAAAATGTATCCTGAAATTAGTATTCTGGTTTTCCAAAAGCCAGTGCATAAGCTGCAACAAACACACAGCAAAGAGAGGATTTATCTAGGTAAACATTTTGTAAACTGAAAAAAACAACACCGCATGCTTGGAATTACTGTAATTTAATGTCTAAAAATGTACAGAAAAGCCTAAGTGCATGAGCCAGACTCATCTTGCCTGCCGAGGTGGAGTTAGACTAAAGTGAAGGGAGGTTGATACCTGCATCCTCCAAAGAGCGCGTCACGGCTTTGGGCTGGGGGGTCAGGTCAATATGAACTTCCTTGTGCTTGCGGGGTCCGTCTGACAATGTGTATGTTGTATCTGTGTAGCACCTTGTCTGTCAGCTGGTAAACTCTTATGTTCACTGTAACCACTGCAAAAACAGTTCAGAAAGGATACGGCTGCTGTGGGAGCCGGGGTCATTTTCAGTCTTCCTTTTTACTTCCTTCTTTATCATTAGATTGTATACGTATTTTGTTGTGATTTAAAAAAAAAAAAAAAAGTATGGGGAAAGTACAAACAGAAGTGAACACACTGGCTAATCAGGTTTGTTTTATATGAAAAAGGCACATTGACCTCACAGAGAATGAAATTAAAAACTAACTTTCAAAAAAAAAGACAAAAAAAAAAAGGCAAAGCAAAACTTTATGCCTTAGATGGAAGCAGCAAATCATTGCTCAGTCTCCTCTCATCCTGGCAAAATACAAAGGGTACTATTTATGTCACCCAATTGACAAATTGAAAAAAATTACCAAAACCCCCCGCGTCCCCCCTTTCAAAAATACTGTGATTTTGAAAAGCAAAATTCACCTATCAGTGCTGGGGAGTAAACTTCATAGTTCTTTTATGTTTTCTTTTAAGTTTCTTTTTTTCCATCTTTTTGCCATTACCTGCATTCCTTAGATTTCTTTTTTCATATGAAAATGAACTAGCAAACCCCCCTCCCTCCCCAACCTCTTTTTTTTTTTTGAAAGAACTTTAGAGTCTCAGTAGTGTTTTCACCATCGAATCATGAAAACCCCTTTTGTTATTTCTCTTCTTTAACACATAACATGTTCCTCCTTTGACCCTCATTTTCCCTTTTTTCTCTCTCTACCCCTCCTCCCTCCCTCCTCCCCTCCCTCCCTCCCTCTCGTCTGACCCCCTCGTCCACCGATCTAATCCTGCCCTTTCGTGGTTGCTGTCTCTCCCTCCTTCCCTTCCTCCTCCTCCTCCTCCTCCTCCTCCTGGCCCCAACACCCTGGCTGGACCCTCCCAACCTGTTTGTTCCTCTTCCTCTCTCCGTTTGCAGCTTAGAGATGGCTAAAGTCAGCACCCAGACCGCTTCCGTCACGACCCCTGTTGACCTCAACATGAACCTCTCTCAGTCTGCCACCCCTACCTCCACCCCCACCTCCATGGCCGTGCTGGCGGCCGCCTCCGCCGTTGCCGTCAGTACCCCCCCTCCCCTACCAACTCTGCCAACCACCCACTATGCCGTTCCTGTCTCCAGTCTGCTTGGCATGAAAACTGTCCCACTCCTGGCACTAAATGCCGCGGCCGCCGCGGGGGCCACGGGGAGTTTGTCCGCTTACACTGCCAAAATTCCTTCGACGAGCGGGGTTAAGAAATCTGACCGCCAGAAGTTTGCTCCATATTGAAGGGATGAGACACAAATGCAAGCTTTGCCAGCTCTACCAAGAGTCTCTGGTAGATCCTAGTTATCAAGGAAACAATACGGCATCTTTTATTTTCTGTTCAGTTGCTAGTGTTAACTGTTGCCGACTCCAGTCGTCTTCCGCTCTCCATCGCCACTAACACCCGGGCACCAACTAGTTCCAACAGCGGGCGGGCGTCGGTGCCGGGGGCTTTCCCCCACCCCTGACCCCGACCTTCCTTTGAGGCCGTGGCCAGGGCTGGTCCCCCGGCGGCCCCGCAGCAGGGCAGGGCCTCCCCCACCTCGGCAAGGGAACACCCGGTGAGAAAGGTGAACGAGAAATCAGGCAAAACGCTGACGGCTCCGGCAGTAGCGCCTGGCACGTCACTGCGCTTGCATCCCTATTGAGTGGCTCCCTCCAACTGCTGACTCTGGAAAACTGGCATCTCTGATGAGTTTTTCTAGTGCTAGAGTCTGCAAATTTGGCACTTCTGATGTTGGCTGGTGCCCCTCAAATCCCATGTAAAGCACTGTCCATGTCCCTCCCCTGCCCCGATCCAGTCATTCTGCTGCTTCCCACAGGCCTAAGGCTCCCATCTTCCCTGCCCCAACACCTGCCTGGAGCAGGAGATGGGGGCTAGGAAGTACCAAACCTCAGGTACCTCTGCATACAATGCAGCAGGCTTACTGGTCCAAGAAAAACTCCTGAATTAAAATCATTGAAAGGCAACACGAAAAAAGTACCAGGCACCTGTGCCTTTGCACTGGCTTCTTTTAAAGGATGCAACAACTTTTCTCTGGTTTGGAAAAACATGATTTTAAGAACTCCTCTGTAGGAAGGGAGAGCAGGCTCCTCCTTTTGTGCTCAGATACTTTTATATACACTGACTAAGTACTTATTTCTGTAAGTACTTAATAGTAGCTGCAAATCAGATGTGTACAGTCACTATTCCGATACCCCCTCCCGCCTTTTTTTTCCTCAGCCAAAATACCCATTTTTTATTAGGTTTCTCTAAATACATCTCTAATTTAACTCACCCCTAATCACACAATCAGATTGTATTCTAATTATGAATAAAATGTAGTACATATCAAAGTACATTCAGAGGTTCCTGCCTGGACAGAGAAGACCATCCTTTTAGCAAGAACTCAATGATGTTTAGATTAACTAAACCAAGACATTTATTTGCAGCCAAACTGAAGAGAGCTGGGTGATGTAATGGCTGGTTGCTAGCTGTTGGAACTAGTTTTTAACGGCATTTTCTGTTTGTCCATCCGCCTTCTTTTTAATTTCTGTTGCATAACTTAGTAATGCAATATTGTTTTCCTCACCACTTCCAAATCCTGAATCCCATTAGCCCGCCATGTTCATCCACTTTGCACTCCTTGGACACAAAGCTTTAACAATTAAACTGTATTCAGTGCATTTTAATATAAACTAAAAACACAATGCAAATGCAATACTTTTAAAAACATGGTATTTCAAAGTGTGTTGTTACTATTATTGTATAGGGCTAAGTACTATCTCAGTATTTTGTGTCATTTCTGTATTCTGTGGGCTTTTCTTCACTTTAGTAAGCTCTGCACTAAGTTTTGTCACTGTAACCATTTGTAGAACTGCCATTGTTACAGTTTGCACCTATCCGAGTGGGGTTTTTGGTTGGTTTTGTTGGGGTTTTTTTGTTTGTTTTGTTTTGTTGGGGTTGGTTTTTTTTTTTTTGTTTGTTTGTATATAATGAAGGAAAAACTGGAAACAATGATGTCAAGGTACCTCAGCTATTTGACAGCTCTAGAAAACTGCTGTAAAATTGTTCTGGACTATTGTAACTGTTTCAATAACTGACACTTAAGAAAAAAAAACAACACACCATCATCTCTCTGTGTGAGATAAGTTGCCTGCATTGAAATGCTGTTCTGTGCTGGTTGTGCTCAAGTGTAATTTTTTTAATAGTGAGAAGATTTTTTTTTTTCTTTTGCCTTTTTTTTTTTTTTTCTTTTTCTTTTCCTCATTTTTGTTCCTACATTTTAGGCTGTCTTCAGAAGTTACTGGCCTGGGGGCTCTGTAATGTATCTCATCATGCCCTAGTGTATTAGCCACCAGACAGGACTTTTCCAAAGCCCCATGAGACAATGCTTTCTATGGACTAATCTACAGAGGAGTTTCTGCCATTTCTAACTTTCTTATTATTCTGAGACATCAAAAGAAAATAATTCTTTTACTCTTTAAGCAACTGTGCTTCCTAACTCCTGTGTTGCTTCACTACTGTTCCAGTTTTAACACTGTTGTGGCTCATAACATAAAGCAAAGCAAAATTATTTTGGGGAGTTAATTTTCATTGATGTTCATGCTTTGGCTAATCTGTATAAAAGCATGGGCTGTTAGTGTTCTAAACCACTGTGTTCAGCTAGAGACTTGAAAGTAAATTAAATGAGAAGTTTTTATAAATAAATCTTTTTTTTTTCTGATTTAAAGAAGAACAAACAGATGTGGTAGCTTTGTGCATACAACTGTTGTGTTGTTCAAACTTTGTTCTTTGTAACCAAGTTGCTAATTTGTCATTTGAGAAACACTATTTTATGGATTGTCAAACTAAGATCATAGATAAATTGCTTGTTTTCATTAATGATTAAAGGTTTCATATCATCACACTTAAGGTCCCAGTGCTCATTGGGAAAAAGTATAACAACTGTGCAATACTGGCAATGTTAGAAAGCATGTTAGTCCATTGTCAGGGATGAGGAGGCTATTTATTAGAGGGAGAGAGATTGTGTAATTAGTGAGCAGTATTTCTGCAAAACCTTGTTTGGGTTTTAACAAGGTTGCTCATGTAGAGCTTTTCACACTGCATAGAAAAGACAGAATTTGGCTTCGTGCTACAAGAAGCTCCTGGTTTGTCTCTCATGTTTTCCCAAACTGCTTTTAAGATCAGATACTGGGGAAAGAAAAACAGGAGCAAAAGAACAAACCTGGATACTGAGTGCAATATTAATAAGATCCTTCATGTTTTCCCATTCCGACAGCACTATTCAGGGCTTCTAGACGGCACCTTTTCCCCTCCCAGGAAACCAGCAGCTGGGAGATGCATTACCATTTGCATTAAAAAGGGATAATGGAGAGCTGGCCCAGGGAAACGTCTGTCCCTGCCCTGACAGCATCCTTGAGCCATCCAGTTCCTCCTCTGCATTTGCTGAGGCACTGCAGTCACAGCCTCAGGCTCTCTCTCCACAGGAAAGTGAAAGAAAGGGGCTGGCTCTGAGGTGATGCTGCATACAGAGCTGCTGGCTGGGCTCTGACCACCTCTCCTCTTAGGGCACTGGCAGTACATTCACCTTTACTGCTTTATCTTCATGAGAAATAGGAGGTTTTGGCAGTGCAAGTGAGTAGTATCCTTAATGACTTGAGACCCCTTTTACAACCTCTAGCCCTACTCTACTGAAGTCTATACTTGTCTTCTAGTATTTAGCTTGGGGTTCTGGCATCCCTCACTTTCCCAGCTGAGTACTTGTGTGGCATATCACTATTATTTTCCATGAGCTCTATGGTACAGAGAGCTCTTATGTGTCTGGGTCTTCAGTCTGAGCCTGGAACTACAATATGACCAAGATGTGCTACAAACCTGGAACAACTTTTCCAGTAGCAATGAAGCCACAGATCAGCTCTTGACAATTAAGGCTGACAAGGAAGATTGCATCCCAGCACCCAGGAAGCCCTACTCAATGCTGAATTAGCTATTCCAGCCTATAAGTTGGAAGAACTGTAGCCTGTAGTACTAACCTTGATAAAATTCTGCATTATTATTACTTAAAATAGATTTATATTACTGAAAATATATTTAACTTCTTACTCTTGAAGGGAGAGCTGAAGCTGCTTTCACAGCAAGGACCTCTGTATTCTTTATTTCCTAAGCAGCAAAAGCTGTTTCTCTGGCTAGCCTGGCTAGTGTAAATGAAAAAGAGAACATTATTGCAGATCAGCACTAAGTAGGTCAAGGCTCTGCTCTCCCAATAAAGCTGCTAGACAAAGGGTGGCAGCAGAAGCTCTGGTGTACAGCATCTTTCAAATAATAATTCCCATGTACCTTGCAGAATTGGCTAGAATAGACTGAGATTTAAACAAACTAGCACAGGGGCACGTTTGTGTGTAGGATGAGGAGGGGGTAAAATAAATACACATGAGAAAAAAAGAAAAAGGTTTTTTTCAAAAAATACAAGGAGAAATGTGGTAAAATCTAGGATAATTGGGAACTCCATTTAATTATTTTAGTTGGAAAAAATTTCTCAATGGCAAGAAAAATTTCCTGGGTAGCTTCAATATACAAAACAGGCAAATCACACACAAGGAAATACATCTGGAGGAAAACAAATGGAAAAAAATAATAATAACCAAGATAGAAAACTAAACCACTCATGCCCAAAGGTAGGCAAGAGGAAGTGTGCACCTGATATGAAAAGGTCACTACCCACACAAGTGTGAGTTTCCAATGCAAGTTCTGCAGCTTTCACATCATCAAATCAGAGTTCTGGTAAACAGTTCAAATTAATTCAAGCAGCTTTGTTTTGTTTCTCTAGTAAAAAAAAAAAAACCAACAAGAGAAAGCACAAATGCTGGCTGGAATAGTTAACCACAAGAGAAGAACAACAAATACAGTTAGAAGTATTCAGCCACATAACCTAGGCCCTTGTGATAGCAGAGTGCTTTCTGGTCTGGCACAGCCAGAAGGCAGCTGTGGGGCCCCAAGGGGCATGTTTGTACCAGTCAAGGCTCCTAGGAAGCTAACAGCATAAACCTTACTGGTGCCACAAATGTAGGCACTTGGGAAGTGCCTCAGCCTCACAGGGCAGCATATGGGGAAGGTGTTTCTGTGAGGTTTCACAGGTCAGCCTTAAAGCATATGCTGAACCTTCCCCACCCAAACTAGGCAGAAAAGGAAGTATTCCTTTATTTATTTATTTATTTTTTAAACCCAACAGCATGAAAATAAGAGGGCTTTTCTGGGATGGGTGAGATCCAAATCCATTTTCTTCCATAGCCTCAATCTCAGCTGAACGTACTTAGGACAGGCCCCTTTGTCAGAGAAGTGTCACAAGCCACACATGCTCAGGGACACAGCTGCCCCAGGGAGGACCGCAGTTGTCAGGCTGCTCAGCTAGATCAGGGGACCTGTAGGTTCAAAGGACAGCACAGAGAGGAAGGGTTTGAACAAAGATCTCTTGCAGTTACCACCAATTATGCAAAGCGTTAGTCCTTCAGCTGTATTTTTTTTAAGAAATACCTGTTTTAGATGTCTACACAAGGGACAGCTGACAGGTCAGAACAGTTTGAAGAGAAGTGATGAACAGAAGAATAAATGCAGAAAAACTGCTCCACACCAGAAATTTTCGCTCTCTTGGCTTGAGTGACATTTTCTAGGGTCACAAGTACATACTGCCTTTCTTGCCACTGAAGTGTACTTCTTGATTCTAGGAAGGAACTCAGTAATGTTGATTCAATCAGCTTCTGTGTCAATGTGTATCTCCCAAGACAGCAGTTCAAAGAGACGTCTCAAATTCATCTGATGTCACCTAACAAAAGGGAATTTCTGAAACATTAATTACTCACATAATGGGTTCTAATGACAGCTACAGCATGATTCTGACTGGTTGAATCTATAATTGCCTATTGGAAGGTGGCTTAATTATAAGAAAAAAAGAAGGCATTTTTAAGTGCTGAAAATATTTGAGCGTATTACTTTTCTCGTTAGAGCTATTTTTAGCTCTGTTTTTAACATGTGGTGATGCAGAGAATTTAATTACTATGGCATATAATAAGCAAAATTTATCTTTCTTCAAATTGAGCTTATTGGCATGGGGCATGATCAAAGTTGATGTTAATGTTTGTTTTAACCAGCATTTGTATTCTGACAGAACTTTTCATAGAATCATAGAATGTCTTGAGTTGGAAGAGACCTCTGAAGGTCATCTAGTCCAACCCCCCCAATAAGCAGAGACATCCTACACTAGAACTGATTGCTTAGAGCCCCATCAAGCCGGACCTTGAATGTCTCCAGGGGTGCTCCTCTCCCCACCACCACCTCTCTAGGTGACCTGTACCAGTGATCCACTACCCTCTTTAAAGAACTTTTTCCTAGTGTCCAACATAAAACTTCCCTTCTCTAGCTTGAAACCATTAACCCTTGTCCTGTTGTTACATGCCCTAGTGAACAGGTCTTCCCAGCCTTCTTACAGGCCTCTTTCAGGTATTGGAAGGTTGCTAAAAGGCCCTCCCAGAGTCTTCTCTTCTTCAGGCTGAACAACCGCAATCCCCCTCAGCCTGTCTATATAAGAGAGATGCTCCAGCCCTCTGATCATTTTTGTTGCCTTCCTCTGGACATGTGCCAACAGGCCCACATCCTTCTTGTGTTGGAGGCTCCAGAGCTGGATGCAGTACTCCAGATGGGATCTCACCAGGGCAGAGTAGAGGGGCAGATTCACCTCTCTCAATCTGCTGGCCACACTTCTCTTGATGCAGCCCAGGACACAATTGACCCTCTGGGCTGCAATTGCACATTGGTGGCTCATGTCCAGCTTTTGATCCACTAGTACCCCCAGGTCTTTTTCCACAGAGCTGCTCTCTAGCATGTCTCCCCCCCAGCTTGTATTGATATCTCTGGTTGCCCGACCCAGGTGCAGGACCCTGCATTTGGCCTTGTTGAACCTCATGAGGTTCACCCAGGCTCACTTGTCCAGCTTGTTCAGGTCCCTCTGGATGGCATCCTGTCCCTCTGGCATATTGACTGCACCACCCAGCTTGGTGTCATCAGCAAACTTGCTGAGGGTGCTCTCAGTGCCACTGTCAATATCGTTACTGAAGATATTAAACAACCCTGGTCCCAGTACAGACCCCTGATGGACACCACTTTTTAAAGATTATATGCAGTACTGGAGGCATGACAATTATGTTAACAAATAAGAAAAGAGAATTCAAGGAAGTTAACAAGTTGGAATTAATTAAGGATGTACATTTTTAAAAGTTATTTGCTCTGATTAATCATCTAGCTGAATAGCTCATCAGAAGCTCATAAAATTGTTTTCTAAAGCTGAGGACAGACACAAATTGTAAATAATTATGCCTATGTTTTTCTAAGACACAGGAGATAATTTACCTTGGTAAATTAGCTTGACTATTCAGCAAGGTTGGTGTAATTCCCTCTTCTCCCATACAGCCATGCTTTCATTGCTTAAAAGCAGGATGGTTTCTTGCCTTCTGAACACAACAGCACTTGTACATCAGTGGCCGCATAGGATACAGAGAGCAAAGTCACTTCTATCTTCATCAGAAAGCTCTCTAAAAACTTTGTTTCAAATGGTTAAGAAATGTACAGTTGTATGAAACGTATACAAGACTGTTTGCAGATCTATGAGATTCCTCCAAGCAAACTCTTAAACAAGCATCAACCAAGGACCAGTGCTGTCAGTTACTGTCTCAGCAATACGTAACCCACTGGTCTGTCCATCATCTTACTGTTTCAACAGAAGTTATGCAAGGGTCATGAACAGAGTGATGAGTCATCTGGTGCTTATGCCTCCCATCTTCTCCCAATAGTAATTAGAATAATGGGCTGCACTGGTTTGTATTGGAATGTGTGAGCTCCCTCCGCTGTACATAAGC